TCAGCATGCCAATGCCCCATGCAGCCCTGGGCAGGCAGCGGCCCACCTCCAGAGGGGCCTGCCTGAGCACAGGGAGCCCTGGGGGGCACTCCACTGCGTCTGCGCTCAGGACGGGAACAAGTCAGAGCCCACGCTGGGTCTGAAGAGTAGGGGCAGTGCATTTAGTGAGGACCCCAGCGCTGTGGCAGGTGAATGATGGTGCTGGGAGCAAGTAATAAGGACAGGAGGACAGGGCGCCTTCCGTTCTCAAGTGGGGGGTCTCACCAGCCCAGAGCAGCATGCAGAGACAGGGCAGGGCCTACAGGATTTTCTAGAACCTTCTGGAGTTTGGAGAGACAGCACGGGGAAGGCATTGGAAAGCATGATGCAGAAGAGGCCAGAGGAAGGGACAGGACACGCCCAGGTCACACAGCAGGTTGCCAGGGCTTCACCTCCTCGGCCTGCGCCTCCCCTTGGCCAGGAGCCCCAGGCCTCCTCCGCCCCCGAATGCTGCCCAAACACCCCGGCTCCATCCAGGCCCTGAGGCCCCAACAAGCTCTTCTGGCCTGGCTCCCAGGCTGCCCAACCACCCCAGAGCCCCACTGTCTGCCCCATTCCTGCCTCACACTCCTGGAGGGTGCCCAGCTAGGGCCTGAAGAGGAACTGAGCCCTGCTGTCTTGAGGACACCTCTAAGACAGGACCCTGAGGCCTGAACCGCCACCGCCCCCTGCAGGGTGTGCACCTGTGCGGTCGGCCAGCTGGAGTCAGAGAGGTGGACCGAGTTTGGAAAGAAGAAATCGTTCTTGAAGCAAACGAGAAGTGTGAGCACACACGTGGGTGGGCCAGGCACCGTGGGAGGAGCTGCTTATCCAGGGACCAGATTGGCCCAGACCCCACAGCCCTGGCTGCCAACAAGCCCTACCTTGCTCACTGCGCTGAAGTGCAAAGGGCTGAATGAAATATCCTGAAATTCTCCCGAAACAAGTTTTCAGTAAGTCCACACTGCACTCGTTGACAGGTTTCACAAAGATTTATTGAGCTTCTCCCCGTGCCAGGATCAGGGTGGTCACTGCGGAGGGCCCAGGCGGCCAGCCTGGGGAGGCTGGGCTGGGGCAGCAGACACAGAAACCGGTGGGGAAACCCACCCTGCTGAGGCTGTGGGCACAGAGGAAGGCTGGAGGCAGGAGGGCAGAGGGGGCACAGAGACAGGCTCAGCCCCCTCTAGGGGGCCAGGCAGGCTGGGCTCGGTGGAGGTATGGAGATGGAGGAACGAGAGTCGCCAGGAGAGGGAGAAGGACTGAGGGAACAGCATGTGTGGAGGCGCAGAGGCAGGACAGTGCCTGGGAATGCCCAGAGCATCAAGAGGCCAATGGAGGGGACGGGCAAGACAGGGTCAGTGACCGAGAAGAGCTGAAGCCCAGGCAGCCAGGTCACGATGAGGCGGGGCAAGGGCACAGCCAGCACACACCTGTAGCTCAGGCTGGTCCATCCTCCCAGAAGCTTCAGGAGGTCCTCCTGCCCCAAAGACGTCTCGGCATCAATCTCTCTGGTCACCAGGAATTGTTCTACCAGGAGGAAACAGTGGCTGTACCCACCACACAACCACCCACCAAGCCCCACACAGGGCAATGTGGGGGAGGGTCAGAGCCTGGGCACACCTCCAAGCCCTCCCTTTCACAGGGAGACAGCCCCCAAGAGGATAGTCTGGGAAGCAGGAGGCCACCCGAAGCCCAGCATTTCCCTGGCCCCAGCCCCTTGCCAAGTCGGTCCTGAATGCCAAATGGACGCAGTTCAACCTCCTCTTCTTTCCCCTGCCCGCCCCCTGCTGGAGCTGTAAGAGGGCAGAAATGGGGGCAGGCCTAGCCAGGCCCAGAGGCTGGGGAACATCCCCAGCTCCAACACCAATCCCCCAAGGGCAAAGCCTGCCAGGCCCACGGGGGCCAGGCCTCTGCTCTCTCAACTCCCAGGTGGGCCTTGGCCTTGGGCCAAGACGCTCCCTGCTGACCCCTAGGACAGGTGAAGACAGGATGGGTAGAAGGGCCACCTCTGAGGTGAGCTGGGCTGCTGCCCTGGGCTGAGCGCAGGGTAGTGCAGGGGCTGCTTGGGGAGGAGAGAGGGTTTGGGAGAGGGAGAGGGGAGGAAGGAAGGCGCAGTGGGGGAGGGGAGTAGGGGGAGGCATCAGAGTCCATCACCACGCTGAGATCTGTGTGCCAAAGGCAGTACCACCTGGATCTGTCCTCACCTGCGCAAGGGGCTGCGGCAGCCAGATGGGCCTGAGCGCCTTGTCCAATGTTCTGAAATCCAGGCTGCGGGTGTAGCCTGACAGCACAAGGAGCAGAGTAGGTCTCCCCAGCAGCTGGCAGCCCTACCTACTGTTCCGGGGAGCTGCCCCGGGGGAGGGTGTGTGCCAGAGGCGCTGGCTGGGCTGGACCGGCCGATCTTACATCTGCTCCAGACCACTCCTTCCACACACACGACCACCACCACCACCGGCAGATCCCAGGCAGCACGAGGCTCTCCCAGCCCAGCGTGGCTTTTCATTGTCAGACTACATGTGGAAGGGGGAGAGGGGGGCACTGCTCTTGTGTGGGTGGAGTCAGGGCAGGTCCTTGACTAGCACCCTCAGAAATCAAGGAATCACGGCTGGAGAGTTTGTCCAACAAAAGTTGGTACTCCTCTCGCCCCTGCCCAAGTTGCTCCGGGATGCCAAAGCCCCAACCCTCCCAAGAGACTTGCCAAGTAGCTTTCTCTCTGTATACCCTCCCCCACTCCACCCCACCCCACCCCACCCCCCCCAAAAAGGAAAAGAAACAAAGTGCTAGCTGAGATGCTCTGGGGCAAACAAATGGACCACCACCCCACCCCACCCCCAACCCCCACCGCCGCTGCAGCCCCAGCCAGGTTTGGCTCAGGGAGAACTCACTAACCTACCTGAAAGATCCCTACCAGGGTGGTGAGGGGCCCAGCGCGCGCTCTGAGGAGTAGGGACAAGGCCGGCTTCCCTCTGGGCAGGAAGTTCCTGGGCTGTGCAGCCCCCCGCGCCCCTGCCCCAGACCGCAGAGAAGTCGCCTGGCTGGGAGAAAAACAAGGGGGCTACATTCACGCGCCCACCGCCTTCCCTCGCGGTCTTGTCTTGCTGGAGTCACAGGGCCAACGGGAAGCTCGCGGGGCGGAGAGTCCCGCCAAGGCAGCGAAAACCGGAGGGCAGGTTCTCCGCACCTGAGTCCAAGTCGTCTACCCACACGCCCGCTGGGTCTTGGGTGGAGGCTTCTTGCCCTGAGGTTGACTTCTCGGGACTGGTTCCCTCGCCGCGGTCGCCGCCGCCGCTGCCGCCGCCGCCGCGAGCGATTTGCCCTCACCCTTTCGGCCCAGCGAGCTCCCACCTCCGCCGGGGTGAGAGCGAGGTCTCCGTCCCGGGAAGAAGTTAGGCGCTGATCCCAGGACGGACCGCACACGGAACACACGCGGCGGTGGCTCGGACTCGGGCTCAGCCACCGCCACCCCAGACAAGTCCCCACGACTGCGAGGGCGTCCCGGGCGGCTCCACTCCCCAGACGGGGAACAAATCGCTCGCAACCGGGCACAGGCAAGGCGGAGCTGAAGTGGGACTTGCTCCCAGCTTCGGGGACCACAGGTCAAGGCACTTCCCCTCCCCGCCACCCTGAGACTAAGTCGCCAGTCCCGAGCCCGAGCAATCGAAAGGACTCGGCGGCAGGGCCAACAGGACCCCCACGGAGTTGGGGAGCTGCCCCGCACCCCGAAAGCTTCAACGCATTCCTGATTGAGAGTACGCACTTTCCGCGTCCGTGCGCCTCTGCGATGAGTTGAGCCGCAGCGCTCGCGGTCGGCGAAGGTGGCTCAGCTCGGGCGCTCCAGTCTCGACGTTCCCGGGGCAGAGAGCAACGTCCGGGGACGCACGGGACGGGTGCGCCCGGCGGCCGGGGCTGCGCCGGGCGAGGCAAGCGGCGAGAGGGGAGCGCTCCGGCGTTCAGGCAACAGCTACCCCTAGTGGGAGAGCCGCCGGGGCCTCCGCCGCCCCGTGCCCATGCCCTGCGCCCCGCGTCCGCCAAGCCCCGCGCCCGAAGCGCTCCGGGGTCGGCTGGGCTCAGGGACGGCGCTGCTTTCCCCAGCCCTCCGGTTTGCGGCGCCGGGCGCACAGCGGCCCGCGAGCCCTGCCCTCCGCACCTCCTGCTGGGCCCCAGGCCGCTGACCCGAGAACAACGGCGCCGGGCAGGGACGCGATGGGACGGGGCGGGCGCGGCTAGGGCGGCGCGCGACAGGCTCGGGCAACAGCGGGGAGCGCCGAGCGCCGTGTGCGTGGCGGGGCCGTGCGGGGGGTGGCCGTGTGCGAGGCGCGAGTGTGAGCGCGCGCGGGAGACGAGCGGGCGAGCGGGCTCCGGAAGGCGAGCGGAGCCCGCGGGCGAACGGGAAAGGCGGCGGGGATCCAAAGTTGCCTCCTCGCGGGCCCGCGTCCTCGGCGGGGTGGGAGCCCGGGCCAGCGAAGCGGCGGCCGAGAACCCGGGCTCCGGCGGCACCTGGGCAGCGGACCCGCACGAGCAGCAGCGGCGGGGGCGGCGTTGGCGGCGGCGGCGCGCGGGAAGCGAACCGAAGCTCCAGCGCGGCTCGGCGAGCGCCGGAGAGCTCCACTCAGGTGCGCGGCGAGAGGGGCGCGGGCTGGGGCCAGGCAGCCGGGACCATAGCCGTGCCAGCGCTCGCACTAACTGGAGGACCTCTACAGCAGACGCCTGGGTCCCTGGTTCAGCTCGCCGTCCCGGGCGGCAGCCCGTGCTGGGGTCCTCCGCCCCTGAGAGCTTGCTGGACAGCCCGGCCCCAAGGCCGGCCTCCCCGCCCTCCTGCCGCCGGCGCCCGCCCCAGGCCCACGATTTCTAAGGCATTGGCCTTGCGGCTGGGGCATCCCTCCGGGCTCAAGTTGCAAGGGGGCGGGCCCCGGCCGGAGGTGGAGTCTCCCGCCAAGTGAAGCCTCGGCTATAAATCGAGCTCCCTGCACAGCTTCAGCCAGATGCCTCGCCAGGCCGCCCCGCGGTTGGTGGGGGGAGAGGGCGGAGGGTCCCAGGGGGCTTGGGGGGCTGTGGCCACCATGCTCCGCTCCCTGCTGCTTCACGCCCTGAGGCTCTGCGCCCAGACGGCCTCGTGCCTCATGCTCTTCCCGCGCTTCCTCTGCACGGCCTTCATGCTCTGGCTCCTCGACTTCCTGTGCATCCGCAAGCATTTTCTGGGCCGCAGGCGCCGGGGTCAGCCCGAACCTGAAGTAGAGCTCAACAGTGATGGTGAGGAGGTGCCCCCCGACGACCCACCAATCTGCGTGTCCGATGACAACCGCCTGTGCACCCTGGCGTCGCTGAAGGCGGTGTGGCACGGCCAGAAGTTGGATTTCTTCAAGCAGGCGCACGAAGGCGGTCCGGCGCCCAATTCCCAGGTGGTCCTGCCCAACGGCTTCCAGTACCAGCACATCCTCGATTACGCGCGAGGAAACCGCCCACTGGTGCTCAATTTCGGCAGCTGCACCTGACCACCGTTTATGGCGCGCATGAGCGCCTTCCAGCGCCTGGTCACCAAGTACCAGCGCGACGTGGACTTTCTCATCATCTACATCGAGGAGGCGCACCCCTCCGATGGCTGGATCACCACAGACACCCCCTACAGCATTCCGCAGCACCGAAGCCTGGAGGACCGGGTCAGTGCGGCACAGGTACTGCAGCAAGGTGTGCCTGGCTGTGCTCTGGTCCTCGACACCATGACCAACTCCAGCAGCTCAGCCTATGGCGCCTACTTTGAGCGCCTCTATGTCATCCAGAGTGGCATCATTATGTACCAGGGTGGCCGTGGCCCTGATGGCTATCAGGTCTCCGAGCTGCGCGCCTGGTTGGAGCGCTATGATGAGCAGCTGCACAGTGATCTGCCCCAGCGAGTGTAGACAACCATGGACAGTTGACTGAGCTTGGAGGGCTGAGCCTTCGAGCCTTCGAAGCCCACATGCAAATGTCCCAAACGAAGTCAGGTTTGGCGAGGGCCCAGTGACACAGCTGTGCTGAGCCATAGAAAGCAGGCTGGGTCTGCACCCTCAGCCAAGCCCCCCGGAAGACTCTCCCCCCTTCCCACGCCCACTCTGCTTTTGTGACTGCCCCTCCCTTGTACCTGCCTGGCTGGCTCTAAATCCCCTTCTGAGTGTGAATGAGGTGCTACCTTTTGCCTGTGTGCCCCTAGACTTATCCCACAGAGGCCCTGCTGTGTTCTCTCGCGTCCCCTCCCCAAAGAAAAAGCGCCTTTAGCCAGGCGCAGCGCCCCCCACCCCAACAGACTGGGCTGTGCCCTAGTGCCCTGAGGGCAGCTGGATCCCAGCAGTGCTGTGCAGCTAACCCTAGTTGCCTGGCATCCACACCCATCCTGCTCAGAGAGGGGATGCCCTGTTGCTTTTGTGTCTGTGTCTTGTCCCTGACGTGGGGGAGGGGTTTGGGATGGGGAAGGGTGGGCAGGGTCGTTTCCCCCCCTTATTTGGGGTGCCCTGGAGCCCCGCTGCTGATGACGAGCTGTCTCTAACTGGTCTGGACCACGAGCTGCTTCTGAATTGCAGGGGGCTCGCAGCTGCGCCCAAAACCAGAGGGGGGAAAGGGCTCTGGGTTTTCCGGGAGGAAACCACCATAAACAGGGTGGGAAAGGGAGGTTGGGAACTGTCTGGGGACCAGAGGAGGACGGCTCAAGAGGTTCGCAGAGCCCCAAGGAAAAGGAGCAGACTAAGGCTCTGGGAAAACGGGGTTTTGGTGGCTGAGCCTGTGGGGAGGAGGAATATGGGGGAAAGAGCTTGGGGACCCTGAGTTAGAGGCCTCCTAGGCAAAGCTGCCCTGCAGATTGTAGGGTCGGGAGGTGGGGAGCCCCTGATTTGAAGGACATTTGGTGAGTGTTTTGCTGGAAATATTCCCTGTATATAAACTTCTTTTACGTTACAATAATAAAGGCTTGATGTAAACTGCTTTTGGATTGCCTTTGGTCCCTTTCTTTTTTCTTCCTCCTGAATAGCAGCAGGAATTAAACACAAATCTCTCCCTCGCGTCCCCATAGTGACCCTGGGGGGAAGGGTGGCGTCACAGGCAGGGGGACGGGGTAGAGGGAGAGAACCTAAAGGGAAAGGGTCTGTGGCAGTGCCCCGGGGTCCCGGAGGGAGGCTGGAGAAACATGGGGGTCCTCACCTGCCGCCGCATGCGCGCGCGCGCGCACGCACACGCGCGCACACACACATACACACACACACACACACACACACACATACACACACGCACGCAGTTACAGCTGCCCCTGCAGTAGCGCATCTAACTTCTCCCAGTGTCCGACCGTGCGGGGAGGGGGGCGGTGTGGAGAGCCTTGGGGGTTTTGGACCAGGTAAGGCTGGGCTCCTGGCCATCGCGGGAGGCTCTGCACACCTGGCTCCTCCCTAGCGCCCTTCTAGCACCGGGCTTCTCCCTCACCCCCTTTCCACACCTGCAAAATTGTCTCCCCACCACCCCCGTACCACCGCGGGGCTGCTGGGGTCCGCGGGAGGCCGGACTAGCCAAGCTCTCGGCGGCGGAGGGAGAGATATTGGAAGAGCGAGCGCCGCTAACGAAGCCAGCTCACTAGCTGAAGCTCCTCCCGCGGAGCGGCGATGGCGCGGGCTGCGCCCCCTTCTAGGGACCCCCTCGCCCCCTGCCTCTCCTCAGCCTCCCCAAGTTGGAGCCAAACCACCACCACCCTCAAAGCGCTGGGGAAGGGAGGAGGAGGATGGGGAGAGAGGCCAGAAAGAGAGAGGGAGCCACTGCGGGGACGGGGGCTGGGGAGGAAGGGGTCGCAGCGTCTGGCACAAATCCCCGCCCGCAGTCAAGGCCAGGCGCTCCCACGCATACTCCGCCTCACTCTGTTCCCTGCTGCTCCCCGTGTGGGGCGACGCCGGGACCGAGGGGCTACTTGGCCCCCACCTCCCTCTAATAGTGACACCTGGAGCAGGAGAAGGGGTCAGGAGACAGAGGAGAGAGCGCTGAGACGGGAATGTCCCCTGGTCCGGAGGGGGCAGCGGTGCAGCCGAACTTCCCCCGCTGGGGACCCAGGACAGTCGGGGGGGGGGGCATCGGTGAGCTCCTGGGTGTGAGCTCGCCTGCGGCACTTGGGCGGGGTCTGCGCGTGTGGGGGGGGCGCAGCAGGCGGGAGGGAAGAGAGAGGCCCCTGCACCACCAAGGCTGCCTCCAGTTCGGCGCCCAGCCCCATGCTGCTCCTTGGTGAAAACTTTTTGAAACTGACACCCTTAAAAGTATTTAAATTGAAAAATAACTTTTAAGGAAAAAAAAAAAAATGGCACAGATGGTATTTCTGCATCTCCCCTCCCCCTCCTTCCGCGCGCTGCTTCTCACCCCGAAACCCCCAGGAAGAATGCGGAGAAAGCGGCGGAACCCGGGCCCGGCGATGAGGGCCCGCCGCGAGCTCCGACCTTCGCTGGCCCGGGTGGGAGCTGGGGGGCTGGGAGAAAGCGGAGAGCGGCCCCGCTGCGCACTCCCGCGCTCCCCGGACCAGCCTGCTTCTTAGGGGTCCAGTTGGACCCGCTGATCGACCTCTCCTCCCGGAGAAGCTGCACCCTCGGCTCCGGGACAGAAACTCAGAGCGCCTGGCGCTTGGACCCGCGGCCCCTGCCACGGGCACTGCCCACACGCTCACCGCCCCTGGGGCGTGCCGGCACCCCATCACCACCACCCCCCCTCTGCCTTCTTTTCTTCTTTTTCCTCTCTCTCTCTCTCCCTTCCTTCCCTTCATCTTCCCGTTTCTTTCTCTCTTCCTTTTCCCTCCTTCTTTTCTTGTTTCTCCCTTTCCTTTCTTTCTTTCTCTCTTTTCCTTTAAAATCTCCCCTCCTGGTCATAGACAATGCGCATTCACTGCCGAAATCACAGAAAAGTCGGCAGAAGAAAAGAAAACCAACCCGAGGCAACCTTGAGGTGTGCACTTTCGAACTCGACACTTCCCGGCCCGCCACACTGAACAAAGACATATTTTAAAAACCAAGAGCCGGATTAGGCTTTTGTAGTCTGACATTGACTTGTAATTCCCGCTACCCCTCCTTCCATGTCAGTAAATAAGTGTTGAGGGGCGCCCGAGACGTGCACGCGCTCCTGGTGAGGGAGGATGCCTTTCGGGGAGCAGAGCCCCGGGCAGCCTGCGCCCGCGGCCCCGTGCGCGTTCCGTTAGGACATAGGTTGACGTGATTGCTGGGTCAAGGCACTTGCGTCTTAAAAGATGTCTGCTTTGCCATATTTTGCTAAACTGCCTTCCAGAAAGTCTGTTTGATTTTATTGTTTTCTATTTTCCCAGTGCTTCTCTCTCTTATGTATTTATTTATACGTGAAAATGTGCAGATAGTACACAAATCCATCCTCAATATTAAATTTTAAATACAGGAGAACGTGGAGCAGGATTTTTCAAACTGCAAGTGAGGACCCAGCAGTGGGCCATGAAATCATTGTATCAGATGGGTCAAGCATCTGAAGAACTGAAATAGAATAAATAAGATGTACATTTCACCTAGGGTAAGTAAGAGTTTTTAGAAACCTTTGTTTCCGGGGAGGGTGTGTGTGTGTGTGTGTGTGTGTGTACAAGGTGGCTTGTGTGAAATGTATTGCTTCTGGGGAATATTTGAAAGCCAGCACCCTTGAGTCCCCATTTTTTCCTCATCTGGGATAGCCCCGGTGAACTGTTGGGTGTTTCCTTCCAGACTCTACTTCATGTACTGACCTTCTCAGATACCAGTACCCCGTATCTAATCAGGATCACACTGCACGTGTTTGATGAACGCCCCACCCACCCCACACACTTTTCTCAAGCCATTCCATCTCCTGGCATCCTTGACCTGTCCATACATCTAGATGGAGCAGGTCTGGGCTGCAGGATACCTTGTGCCAGGCACCATCCGGCTGTCTGAGCGCCCACCCCACCCAGGAGGACTCATCTTTCCCTCTCCCTCTTCATTAGTATTGTCAAGGCCCACTGTCAGCTGAGCCACCGGTTAGCCTTAAGCAGGGAGAGGGAAGCGAGGCATTAAAGGAGGGGGCAGAGAAGGTCTTAGTTGCCCCTTGCAGACACAAGTGCCCGCTCCAGGAAGACATGGAAGGAAGGGCATCCTGGGTAGAGGGTATTGCCAGTGCAAAGCCATGGAGACCTGAAAGTAAACGCGTTCAGAAAGCAGGGAGCCCCTCATGTGGCTACAAAGCAGAAGTGCGAGGAGGAGGAGGGGCAGAGAGGAGCCTTGGGCACCAGCCCAGGATCCCTGCTGAGCCTCAGGAATGGGAGCCTCCGTCAGGAACGAGAGGCAGTAGGAGGGAGAGGGGAAGGAGCATGGGATGCCTGGGGAGGGGAGGCCAGCACACCCATCCATGCTCCACTGACAGAGGGTACAGGCTCACATCTCCACCTTGTACCCACCAACTGTCTTCTGGGTGCTTACCTGGAGGAAATGATCAAACTATTGGCCAAAGGGGTAAGTAGGTACCAAGGGTTGCATGGCCTCCCCTTTATAATACCCAGACATCCTCTTCAGGAAAGTAATGTCAGGGGCCAGGTGCTGGGCAAAGTGCTTTATTAAGAGTATTCGATTTGGTCATCCTAACAGCCCTCTTAGATGAACATGATCATTAGCCCCATTCCACTGATGAAGAAACTGAGGCCTGACATGATTGGGGTAAACTGGGCCAACGTGTTATGGGCTGAATTGTGTCCTCCTCCAAATTCCACCTGTGGAAGTCCTAACCCCTCTACCTGAGAATGTGCCCTTACTTGAAAATAGGATCAGGTCATTAGGCTGGGCCCTCATCCAATAGGATTGGGGTCCTTATCAGAAGACGAGATTAGGACACAGATACACACAAAGGGATGAAGGATCAAGAGAAGACACAGTGAGGTGGCAACCCTGTGCAGGACTAGAGACCTCGGGAGAACCAGCCTGCAGAACTGCCCGCAAGTCATTTTCTGTTGTTGAAGCCCCGCCCTCGCCCCACCCCCACCCCACCCCCCAGTCGGTGGTACTTAGCTAGGGCAGCCGAGCACACTAAGACACAAGGTCATGCTCTGGAAATGGTTGCGAACACAGGCCTCCCTGACCCCAGCGCTGGGGCTGAGCCTGGGGCTGC